GGGGGGGGGGGATGATGGCACTTTTAGTCTAATTGATATGAGGGGTGCCAGGGTGAAACAGTCTACTCTATGTAATTATGAAATAGGGATGTGCCATACAGATCTTTTCAGACTCCAACCCTCCTTTCTAGGAGCTCCATCTTGTGGGAAGTTATACTATGTTTTATACAGTGTATTCCTTCATTGATTATTGTTTTCACTAAGTGATGACAAACATCTGTACAATCAGTGTCTTTATCTGCTAAGCAATTGTATCAATTCTAATATCATGTGTTACTTTCTAGAGTAGGTGAGGATTTCTATGATGAGGCTGATGCACGATATACAGGTTGAGATGACATGGCTGTTGCCCTCCATCAATGAAGAGGTTCCATGGACTCAGAAACCATCAGGAGTCTTACTGGCAGCAACTTGCTCATCCAAAATGAAATAAAAATGGAGGGAATGTGGGAAGTTTTAGTCTAAAGTTCCATCTCGTCGCTATTAAGGGATACATCACGGGTGTTTAGCATAATCAAGCTATTGTAGTATAAAGATGCATTGTTCTATGATTCTCTGCGCATGTCTATTGTAGTGTTTCTCAACCCTCTTTGGCTCTTCTCTTTATGTAAATGATGGTACTTAATAAAAAAAGACATGCCTCCGGAGAAGAAGGTAGACATTTTAGAGACATTTTACAGGCAGACATCTTCTTCACCGGTGACATGCATCATACCTAAAGACTGTAGTCTGTCTTCATTTATCAGAGATCTCTCCCTGGTTTTCATGCAACTGCTGCTTGGACTGGCTTCCAAGCAGGGTTCCCTGGGGATTTCCCCACACCATCTGACAGACCCACAACTACAGACACCTAAATTTCATTCATCTGGAGAAATGCTTCATGGCCTAGCTGCAGCCTAGTTTCCTGTTTAAAAAAAAAGGAAGATGTCCTAGTGCTAGCTGGGCACTGGGGCAACATTCTTTTTTGACATGAAGCTAGGCCAGAACTAGGCCATGAAGCTTTCAAGCTAGCTGAGTGAAATTTAGGTGTCTGTAAGTGTGGGTCTGTTACATGGAATTCTCAGAATATAGAATTCTGCAGGCTGAATTCCAGGAGTCTGAGTGGTACATCTCTATTATGAAATGTCCTCCAGACACAGGGGAAAAGGGAACTGAACCAAAAGAAATGGGATATTTTCAAATTATGATGAACAAAGTTTAAAATTTTCTACCAGAGGAGAAGGATTATAGTCAAGAAGTATTTACACAGGAAATATTGAAGTTTAAAATGAAAACATGCTTCAAGAGATCAGAAAGGTTCTCCACCTTAACAAATTGTTCTTACAGGAATATGAGTATTTCAGAAAGGATGGAGAATTCTTGTGTTACAACACCTCTCTTCCCATGTTAGAAGTGTCACATGATCATTTCATTCCATTTACTTGCAGACAGTTGTTTTCATTGCAAACTTCCCCAGAACCAACGTTGCCAATCTGATGCATTCTGCCTAGATCAGGGTTGGGCAGTTCTTGCTTTTGGCCTAAAACTCCCACAAGGCCTAGACTGCATGGCCAGTGGGGAGCAATTATGGGTGCTATAATCCAATAAACATTCCAGTTGCCCTTCTCTGGCCTTGACTGCGCAGTTTATAATCACCTAGATGATTCTTTAAGGCTCTGAATCTATAATATGGTTTGACCATCCAATGATTTCAATGATATGCATTTGACCGGTAAGAAAAAAAGCATATTCCTCTCCAATCTAAAACTGGAGAATGCATGCTTGTTGTTAAGCACATAAATAATATCCTAAGCCATTGATGTCACCACCAGCAGTAATGTTGGTTTTCCACAAAATCTTGAATTAGAAAATATCTGGGGGAAAAATCAATACTACAAGAGAGTCTCAGGATTTTCTCTGATTCTATTCCCTCCCAGAATACATCGCTCTTGGGGCAGAAACATGTGCAATCATTTTCTTGCAAGTACAACACAGGCAGACAGTGCTAAATAACTGATTAAAAAATAAAAAGCATCTCACATTGTTTTCCAGGCCCTCAATGACTTCTATGCCATTATGGCTAAGATACAGTTCCCGCAGGTTCACCAGGTTCTGCAGGCCTTCAATCTTGGTCAACCGATTGCTCTAGAGTGATAATAATAAACAAACAAAAAACCAAGAACAGGTTGAAGTGAAAGAATGAGATTTTTTGGGGAAGAATGTTACATATGATTCAGAGGACATATATTTCTGTAAAACCTATGCAGAGGACACATTCCTACAGAAATCATTCTGGGCATCCGCACATTAAGCCAAACATTCAAGAAACATTTTGGTTGACATCTGACACTTCTACAAGTCAGCACAACTCTAATCATCTATGTGCTTCAAAAATAATATAAGAACCAGAACTGGATTGGGCACATGTTTTTCCTGGTCAGTTTCACTGAAGCATCAGTCACAGATAATCTAAAATCTGAATAAGTAAAGGGGGATCCAATAGTTTCCCTTCTGATCAGTACTATTACGTTTCTATTAAAGCAGAAAAAGCCACGTAAGATTTTTGCCCTCCACGAGGCAAAAGGGCCTTGGTTCTCATACAATTTGAGGGGGATGTTATTCATTACCAGGATTCTGAATGTTGTTTAGAAAGGTGACATCACCTTATTTAACAAGCTATTAGGAAGCCATTTCCACTGCTAGCAAAGGTGGATATTTATTTATGTGTCTACTTTATTTCTATCCTATTTTCCCAAAAAGGGATCCAAGACTGCTTACAAGTGATTAAAACACACAATGAAAATCACAATAAATTACAATATTTAAACATGATCAAACATACCAATGTTAAAACTACTACTTTGTAATTATACTTTCAAAAGGTCTAAATTACAATTGCTGCAAAGCTTATATAATGGAGGCAAATACACAAGTTAAATGATGACTCCATGAATAAATAACATAGGAAGTCCAGGACTGGTACCTGTATGCTAAGTACTGTCAAGTTCGTCAGGGCATCCAGGTTCTGCAGCTTGGTGATTTTATTCTTTCCCAAAAATAGGCTGTCCAGATTAGTTAGTGTATCAATATTTTGAATTGCCTGTAAAATGACCAAAGCAATCATGTTCCCCAATTTTCAATGTTTACCAATGAAGACAGAAAAAAAGACAGCAAACTGCCTATTTAAACCACCCATGAGATTATTTAGATCAGATGCTGGCTGAAATCCAATTATAAGTCACAAATAAAGCAGGCCCATTGAATCAACAAAACTTGGCTGACTCACCAAATCCCCATCCATTCAATGGGCCTACTCTAGTTCCAACTTACCACTAAATTTCAGCCACTATCTTACATATCATTTCTAGTTTGGATTGACCAATCAAACCAAATTAGAGAATATGCAGCTGAGCTATATGAAACTGTTGGAGCAGAAAAATGTGTTCACATTTCAAGTTTGAAGTCTTGCCACTTGAGAAGGCTTTGTAAAGAAGTTGCCTCAAGAGACAAAATCACAAGGGCACCTCATCTAGAACATCCTGAATTCCATTAGCAGAACATGCCTGTACTAATAATTCAACACACAAAGAATCCACATGGAGCTAGCTGGAGGAATGAGTCATTGCTGCTTGGGAGACTACATTGCAACAGGTTTTGGAGATGGTGAGATGGTGAGCACTATGCCAAGAGAAAAAGCAGCACCTACAGGTTGTGGATATTCCAAAACAGGTAATTATGCAAACAGACAGATAGAGAGTATGCTAACTACGACCCAGAATTAAGACTGTTCAAGCTACATCTCCAAGCCTTCTTTCTGAATGTGACATAAAGACTACACTGCTTGGATTTTCTGAATATTTTTATTTGACTTGTTTCTTATATTTTTACTTCAAATCTTTTAAATTGAACAGATAGGATTTAAACAACAAATTCCACTTCTGAGCTTCCACATCTTGTTGCTTATCCATTCGCCGAATCTTTATGACTTTTGGCCTTTTTGCCCCCAAATCATCACATATCCTGGTGCTGCTATATGCCTTCAAATCAATGTTGTTAAGCATCATGCATGTCTACAAGACTTTTTTCCTTTAGTACTCTAAAACACTTGAGTCCTCTTCTTATAAATATTTTTTGAAGGTCTATTTGGTTCCTTTTGTTCCCAAAAGATCTCCAAAATGGAAAAAGCTAGAAAAACATTTTTTTCTCCACAGAGTTCAATCCACTTCCAAAATTAAACCTTTTGTTCCCAAAAGATCTCCAAAATGGGAAAAGCTAGAAAAACATTTTTTCTCCACAGAGTTCAATCCATTTCCAAAATTAAATAACTTGGTTGGTTGTATCTTAAAAACTGTTTCCTCAAATCCCCATCTGGGATCACTGAGAATTAGTTTTTAATAGCACGATCACAGCTACTGGTGGACTCTTCCATTCACCATCAAATTGACAGAAACTATGAGATCATTTCCCTCTAGTTATGAACGAAGTAGTTCATCTGTTGCCTTCTAAGCTAGCAATCATCTTCATTTTATTCTCCCACACAAGATATATTATAATCTCAAAACACTCACTTGCGTGATGATACACTATGATGTAAAAAAAAACCCAACCACCTGCAAACACAGATTGAAAATACTGTTCTTTGAATGACAATTGGATAGATGTAACTGTGAAATCACTATTCCCAAACTTCTAATGGCAGAACTCTCATCATTCTTTTTGCTTACACAATGGTCTGTTGCAGGAGTGATATGACAGTTTCCAGATTTGTGCAACAAAGTATGGAATAATATCTCCTTGTGCAAGCCTAGAAACTGTCCATCCACTTGTGCAATGGTCTGTTGTGTGAGTGGGAAGGAAAATGGAGGATTCTGCCCTGAATAGGAAGCTCCTGTGAATATGGGTACTTGGGTGAGTGCTGGGTTCAGTACCACAGTGAGTGAATATTGGTGGGTGGGTAAAAGAAACATTAGATTTGGGGGAAAATGAGAGAGAGAGTACAAGGCTGGGAGTTTGGAATGAATATACTTTCAGCCAAAGCAAAGCCAAGTACTGCTGGCTGTAATGTATTGCAAAAGGTCTTCTATGGGTTGCTTGGAAGAACCATATGGTAGCCATAACGTATTTGCCTCTTATGTTTTAACTTGCTATTTCTTCGAGTTAGAGGAATGACTCGACTGACAAATAATGTGGGAAATGCTATGGAAGTGGGATATTCAGATTCACATTAGTATTCATTGAGTACATGATATTAAGTCAATGTGAATCAGCCTACATATTCCCCCCTCTAACCTATTCTTTCACCATCACAACCACAACCATTAAGACTTCTACTTTTTTTTGGACACATTTGCATCAGTTCAGAGTGTGTGATTGGCTGAGCCCAAAATCAAGAAATCTGTAGCCATTCTATTTCAAGCCATTGCAAAGGAGTGGAAAAACTGGCTGCGATTTGAATCCTTTCCTGGTACCCTGGCCTGCTTGTTTTCCTCTTCCTTTCTCATGTGTTTTTCTTTTTTCTTTAAGGAAAAGAAAAACTTTTAGAACAGCTAGATGACCAAAGGAAAAAGAATGAGGAGTCAGCAGAGGTTGAGGAGAAACTTAAAAATCCGCCTTGTTTTCAGCTTATTAAGTTGGCTCTGCTCTGTGCTTCCTGCAAATCTCTTTACAAACTGCAAACAAGTCTGAGTGCCAATTTCCTCCCCTCTGTCTGCTGGCTCTTGTGCTCTCAGCAGAAACAAATTAACCCAGGGAAACCTAACTTCCCAGGTACAATTTCACAGCATATCTATTTGCATTTTTCCTGTTGTGTAGTCACATTCTCACACTCAGAAAGAGAAATAACATATTTTCCCTAGGAATCATAGGATTAGCTGAGGAAATGGCTTGGATGCTATATGGATACACACACTTCCTGTGCTGTTTGGATTCAGTTTAAATGTTATGTATGTCATATAATGATAATTGCAGTAGAGCTGTAACATTAAGATTAGCATTCCTTCCCTTCTTGTATGATAGGATTGGCTTCTTAGTTCCATCCAGAAAGGATCCTCACCAACCATTAGAAGTAAATACTCACCCTGATTCGATTAGATCCGAGTTCCAACATTTGCAATTGCTGTAAGTTGCTTAGGTTCTCAATTTTGCTGATTTTATTGTTGACCAAGAAGAGTTTCTTTAACTGCGTGAGCTGATCCAGCCCTTCAATGTGCCGTAATATGTTAAATGAAATATCCAGGACCCTAACAGAAAACATAGGAAGTTAAATAAATGGTAGCAAAAACAGAATACACTCCATCATATTTCTACCCTATCTTTCTTTCTCCAAGAAGTTGGAAGCACCATACATGCAGCTGTTTCCCATTTTATCTTCATGATGACTCTTTCTAACAAACTGGGGTGGGCAAGCTCCAGGAGTCTGGCAGCCACATTTGCCAATCCTTTGACCTTGGACGGCCACTTTTTTTCGTTAAAAAAACTGCCCTCTAGTGTCCAACCTTTAAAAATTCAAAATATTTTTGGGGTGCAGGGGCCACACAGTGCTGAGGAAGGCCTCAAAACATGACAAAATTGTTCCTACACTCTCTAGAGCAGAGATCCCCAACCAAAGTCCATGGCCTGGTACCAGTCTGTGGCCTGAGCCAGATCGGGCCGCAGAGAGAGACCTCCCCCCCAGCACGTACTCCCCCTGCACAGCCCGTTTGCATATGATTACCCACAAGCGCTGCACCGCCCTTTGCGCATGCGCACAACTGCACCCACACAAGTGCTGTGCCACCCTTTGCGCATGCACATGAGCACACATGCACCTTCATGCATGCACACAAGCGTGGGGGGCACCTTCCCCAGCTGGTCTGTGGGGCTAAAAAGGTTGGGGACCGCTACTGAGAACACAGGAAATTTTTGGACAAAAAAATATTTTGTTTTGCAAAATATACTTTACCTTTTGGGGGATGTCAGTGCGTTGGGAGCCCATCCCGGGGCACTGAGGATTGCAGTTGGTCCCCTAAGGAGCTGCATGTAGCCTCTGAGAGTATATGTGGCTAAGTATATGTAGCTGGCTTCAGAAATGGGCTAGTCCAACATCTCCTTTGTTAGCTTAAGCTTATTCAATTATCTTTTTCGTTGTTTAGTGGTAGTCTCCCTAATCTCAATCTACAACTTAATCCACTGCACCAGTCTCGGTCTCTCTCTCTCTCTCTCTGTATGTATAGGCTGCAATCCAACGGCTCAGAGGTGGGGAACGCATGGCTATCTAGATGTTTTGGGTTACAATTCCCTCAATCCCTTATCTTTAACTATCCTATCTAGGCCTTCCAGGATTGATGTTCAAAAACATCTGGCAACCAAGGGTTCCTCATCCCTGCTACAATTTATTCTGTTAGGAAAACGTCCTCTGAACTTAGCAGGACTTCCTTCTGAGTAGACATGTACAGCAGAGCTGGAGATCCTGCCATCTATGATCTGAGCTCCTGTATTCCTCTGCTGAATTTCAAAAGTTTGTTGCAAGTGACCAGTTCAAGTTCTGACCCAGAAGGTGGCAAGGGAAGGACAGAGAGAGGGAGAGTCAGAAGGAGCAGTGGAAACAGGGAAGAGGCATCATTCACTGCTTCAACCCACCAGCCTGTCCTTTCCTTTTAATAATGTGAGAAGGAATGCAATCTTGAACATAAGAAAACGTTCACTTTTGACACATACTGCGCTAACAGTATATATTTGGAGTTTGTACATTACAATGCTTTAATGGAAAACTAGACATGTCTTCACTAACAGCTAAAATGGTCTCTTTGTTTCCTGTCCAGATACTTACTCCAGACCTGTCAAGGCCTCCAGGTTCTCAATCTTTCGAATCTGATTGTCATAGAGATCTAGCTCTTTCAGAGTCTGTAACTGTTCCAGGTTCTCAATACGCTTAATCAAGTTCTGACGGAGGCAAAGAGTCTGTTAGGTGGAGAGAAGATAAACAGAGATGAGAAAACAAAGACACATAAGTCCCATTCTCAAGCAGTGTGCATGTAAAATAGTATCAAAAATTAATATATCATCTTTGTTGAGCACTCTTAACCACCACTGCCCCCAACAAGTAGGCTTCTGCAGCAGCCAGGCTGTCTTACTGTGCATTTTTACTGGGACAAACAACAGCACAATTGTTGTGATGCTGTTACCAGTCTATCTCGCACCCATAGAAGAGATAAGCATTTCCATTACAGCCCACCTCTGCATTTTGGAGCTGAGGACCAAATTACAAATGAGGTGAGATCCAGCCCACCTCTGCATTTTGGAGCTGAGGATATAGAGGACCAAATTACAAATGAGGTGAGATGGCATAGTAATGCCTTTTTCAAAGACTAAAATCAGCTGCTGTTGGACAAGAGTGTATTATTAGTACTGAGCAGATACTAGGGGAGGGATGCTTAAGGCTCTTCTCTTGAACAAAATGATCCAACAGAGTTGCTGTTTGCATCTCACCTTCACTTTCTTGAGCACCTCAAACCCCTCGATCTTGCCAATTCGGAAATGATTCAAATCAACATCCTGAAAGGCAAAGAAGCTCTAAGTTGCCTTAGCATTGGTGCATGGATCCATCTTAATATTACTTCTGAACCAGGATGAAAGTATATATGTTTAACATAGTGCAAACCTCAGGAATTCTTCCAAAACAAGCTTTACAGTGGATGTGTACACAAGAGCTGATATTTTGTCTGAATTATGTTTTCTCATAAGGTAATGAGAATGTCTAAAAGCCAAGGGCATATAGCTTACAGAGAAACAAATCTGCACTTGTAGCACAAATACTATATATAACCCTGATTGTATGATCTCATTGTTCTTTCTGTAACATGCCCCGGTACTATGAACTGCTTTCTCCAAATTCTGAATATTGCATGTACATGATCTGCTCTTCTCCTGCCACTCCAGTTTTGTAAATGCCACAGATATATCTATGATACCAGATGTATACCTATCATCAATTTTATGAGAACGCATGCATTTAAATCAACCATGAGTGCTCACTGGAAGGACAGATCCTGAAGCCGAGGCTTCAATACTCTGGTAATCTCATGAGAAGAGAAGACTCCCTGGAAAAGCCCCTGATGTTGGGAAAGTGTGAAGGCCAGAGGAGAAGGGGATGACAGAGGATGAGATGGCTGGACAGTGTCATTGAAGCGACCAACATGAATTTGACCCAATTCCGGGAGGCAGTGGAAGACAGGAGGGCCTGGCGTGCTCTGGTCCATGGGGTCACAAAGAGTTGGACATGACTTAACGACTAAACAACAACAACATTCATTTAAAAAACTGAATATGGCTTGTTGTTACTGTTGAAAACTGGGGAGGCAGGAGAGGTAATGCGTTCATAGAGGCAAACCAACCAGCACTATGCCCGGTCAGCTTCCACAACAAAAGAAACAGAACTAGTTCTCGGCATCCTTGGGAAAAGTCTTTTTTAATGTCTGAATGCCACACTGTGAGTGCATTTTCTCAGCAACCTTACAGATTTCAAATGCTAAAACAATCATTTGTTTGTAGGACAGTTGCTGCAATGCTGTCTAATATCTTCTTTCAACAGTGTTACTAATGCACATGGCAAAATCTTTAGTCTTTGCCTTGATATTTTAGTTAGATCATGGTTACCTAAGGTGCAACTGTCAACTGGGCTCCTCAACTGTGGCTTGAAATTGGCCTCCTTTGTGCCCAGTGAGTAATGTCATATCCTCACCAAAACATGTATAATCAGATCACACATGGAAGTGTGGCATCTAGTATAGAAGCTAGAAAAAGACAAAACTCAGCATAGGTACAGAGCATATAGACATCAAATGTTGTACTTCATGCACGTGAGGAAGTACAGGATAATCCACAAAAGGGCAGGCTAAAATAACTATGATGCCAATATCTTGTTAAGAAAAAGCACACATGGAGGCGCAATCATGTAATGGCTCTTCCCAGTTGTCTTTTATACAGCTGGTTGTGTGTTCGAGTTTATAACCCATGTATGAACAATTGTATGGAGGAGAATCTACATGATTGCATTTAGTCACAATCACGTAAGAGCAGGATTTGTCTCACAAAACTCCATTTTAATGGACTTTTGTAAAAGCTTCACTGGGGAAAAACACCCTGGAGAGGACTTTGTGTGCTCAGTGGCCACAGAGTGTTGATAAACTGGTGACGATGGTAGAGGAGAGTAGAACAGAGTGGCAGGAGTCTTCAAAGAATAGTGTTGGCCGTAACATTTTGTTGTCCATTCCACCTGTAAGTTCCATCCCTGTTTTTCATTTAGGGACAATACAAACTTTGCACACTTCGCACCCTCCCCCCTGAAAGGGAGCTGTGTCACCTTAATGGTACCTGAAAATTCCGTGGGGGGACTGGCAACACTATGACTCTGCCCTGCAGCATTGCAAATATACGTTGGTACAGAGGAACAGCCCTGTGTGTGGCGTTTTTCAAGACGGAAGAGTGAGGCGTGCAAATGCCCACATCCACATATGAAGCTTTAAACACAAACCTCTCTGGGTGGCTCCATAAGACGCCTTTACTATTTTGCTGCCCTGCTTTATTCACTTACATAAGCTTCTGAGAAGATGCTGCCTGCCACTCACATTCCTGTTTTTCTTCTACCTTTTTTCTTTCTGTGAGCAGTGAGTAGAAGAAAGATGAGCAAACTGCACGATTCCGTCTCATGATTAGCACAAAAAGTCCTCAGTCTGACAGTACCACTTAAATCCGTTCCTGAATAGATTCTTTAAGTGGAGCCCTTGCTTGCTGACTAATCAATGTTTCCCATGGCACCAATGCATTATGTATATTTTGACAGCGCAGATCAAAGAAAAAAGGCAAAAGGCAGACACCTACACTCCCTTTAGATTCAGTCATCAGCAAAGTGTACTTTGCCTTTGCATCCTTCTGATCTAACCCCACCCAAAGAACTCAGCTTTTTAAAAAAAAAATGAAGAAAGCATGTCAAAGAATAGGTTCCATAGCACAGAATAATGCTTAATTGTCCATAGTTTAGAAAGTGTTTCCCAGAGAGTCAGTTGTCGGTGTTCTTGAGTGGAATACAAAAGTGACACCTGTATTACCTCTGCTTCTGGATCCAGGCTAATTGTCTCCATGTCCACTGGTGTCTCTGCTTCAGCTGCAAAAGAGCAAGTGTATTTCTTTAAGTCTCTACTGCTCATCACTGAGAGCACATTCCCAAAGTCAGATGTCCCACAAGACAAAACATGCCTTGAGGAAGCATAAAACATGCCTTGACGAGAGATGGAGCATCTGATTTACTGCATTTATGCAAAGCATACTCTAGTCTTTCTAAGATTAGCTTGGCGTGCAAAATAAGGATTTCCGTGGTACAGTCTATAATAAAGTGCAAGTAGGACCAAAATACTCTTTGGGGAAAAATGCACATGAGAAACATTGTCTTAAATGACTAAGAGAGGAAAATGATAGCTGAGAAAGCAATAACTGTGAACACCACAAGCAAAACAGTTATCAGAAATGTTAGTTATCTGTACACTTTGACCAACTTATCCGACTTCCACAATGACGAACAACAAATTCCTTTTGAGTAAAAAGGTTTAGCATTCATACCAGAAGAAAAGAAATCCAAACAGCTAATCTGATAGCAATATACTAAGTTATTAATATTTATTAATTTTTAATTCAATTTATATATTGTCCCATTAGTACAAGCAGTACATTGGGCAGTTTGCATAAGGTTAAAAAGTCATAAACCCTCAATATACCACAATGACAAAAATATGATTAAGACAATACAGCAATAGAATAGACAGCAATTTTAACCATAAATTATGAAATATCTAAAGTTGATAAAACAAAAAAATTTACTAACTTGCCCAAGTTAGAGTACATTAGGTCTACAGTGGGGTCTCTACTTAAGAACGTCCCTACTTAAGAACAATTCCACTTAAGAACAGCTCCATTTGCTAAATTTTGCTTCTACTTGAGAACAAAAATCCAGATAAGAACAGGAAAAAAAACTTTCCTGCTCTTTTTTTAACCTTAGGTCATCTTAGGTTAAAAAAAGTTCTCCCCCTAGTGGTAGAGTACGTATTAACCAGCTTTGCATTAGTTCCTATGGGAACTAATGCTTCAATGTACGAACGCACCTCTACATAAAAAAAAACAGCCAGAACGGATTAATTGGTTTTCAGTCCATTGCTTCAAAATTAGCTTCGTCAGAAGTGCTTTTAACACTGTTCCCTGACCTAAGGGAAAAAAAAAAAGAAAAAATATCCCCCTCTAGTGGTAGAAGGTGGAATAGCAGCTTCCCGTTAGTTTCTATGGACGGAAAAGAGCAGATACGGATTAAATGGTTTTCAATGCATTCCTATGGGAAATGCAGATTCTACGTAAGAACTTTTCCACTTGAGAATCACCTTCCAATACGGATTAAGTTCTTAAGTAGAGACCCCACTGTATACTCGTATTTTCTTCAGTAGAAGGCAATCAATATAGAAGCAATTCATTCTGCTACACCTCATTTTCTCATCATGTCTCCCCTTGAAAGGGATGCTACTTACTTGCAGTTGATAGCTTTCCTACTTTGAAGAAAACAAATACTCGTACTTGCTGCTAATTGCATGCTCTTGCTGCCATTCTCACTCTTTCTCACAATGTGAGTTGAAGTGGACCTCAGAGATTTGTGCTGAATAATTCACAAATGCTCTGTTTGGAAGATGTGTGGATTCTCTCCCTCACATTTTATTGAGCAACGTAGAGAAACTGTGTATGTCAAGATATGAGACATGCACTTAATCCATTGTTGTCGTTATCTGCCATCAAGTCGCCTCCGACTTATGGCGACACCATGAACGCTCTCCGAAATGACCTGTCCTCAACTGTCCTGCTCAGCTCTTGTCAATGCAACCCTGTGACTTTCTTCAGGGAGACTGTCCATCTCTTATTTGGTCTTCCTTTTCTTTCCTGCTGTCTTCTACCTTTCCCAACATTAACGTCTTTTCCAGATAATCCTACCTTCTCATGATGTGGCCAAAATAGGACAGCCTCAGTTTCTACATTTTTGCCCCCAGAGATTAGTCAAGCTTGATTTAATCAAGGACCCATTTGTTTGCCTTTCTGACAATCCAGAATAGCCACAAAGCTATCCTCTCTAGCACCACATTTTTTTAAAAAAGGAACAATTCATTTTGTGCAGGTCCCTTCCTCTCTTAAATGACTCAATCCACACTCCCTTGCTAAACCTTTGTGCCGAAACTCACTTTCAGGAGGATTACATAATATCATCTATCTCCCTTCAAATGATTTTTACTGTAAGCCCTTTGGCTTCACTCTTAATCCTCAAACACAGGGAAAATTCAGCTTAGGTGTGTGGAACCGCACTGGCTCACTATTCCTCTCTTGTTACCTGTGCCTCTTTCTGTTCCTCTAACCTCCCTGATATTTCTCTCTAAAAATACATCATCTTTTGCATTTCAGTTGTCATGCCTCACAGATATAAGGGCAACACCAAACAAAGAAACAAATAAGCCTAAAGTCTTCAGTAGCACTGTACCACGCTGATGAAACTGTCTCCTTTTCTGAACTCCTTGTCAGCAGTGTCCCACATAAAGATGCTGAGAAGTAAGATAACAGACTCTTTGGCAAATCCAGAATGTTTTGCTTATGTAACTAGGCTCTAAAATATCCCTTCTGCATAATAATTTTATGTGCCATCAAGTAAATTCTGACTTATGGCAACCCCTTTCAGGGTGTTTTTTTAGGTAGAGAATATGCAGCAATGGTGTCCCATTCCATTCTTCTAGGGGTGCCCTGGGACTATGTAGCTTGCCCAAGGCTACACAGGCTGGCTCTACTTAGGAAGCACAGTGGGGACTCAAACTCCTAAACTCTGGCTCTGCAGCCAGAGGCCTAAGACACCAAGCTATTCAGCCTGCTATCCTTTTCCCACAGGAAATGCATAAAGTAGAGATCAGCTCTACTTTTTGAGCCTGGATAACCCTGAGGCCTGCATGTTCCTCTTTCTTTCTCTGATGCAGCTGCAAGGAGGAGATTGAAAGTGTCTATTTTCACACCATAGAAAGGAGAGGAGAGAGTGCCTGCTCATAACTTCTTCCCACAGTATTAAAAGGCCCTAATGCCTTTTGATATCAGGAATCCCATCACCAAACCCCCCCTCATTCAATGTGCACATTTATTTATTTAAACTATTCACATTTTATGCTGCCCAATAAGGAGCAAAGTTACTACTTTGTGTGGCAGGCACAACAAAACATAACAATAATAAGGGGGAAAAACACAAAAAGGAAATCCAAATTCCGGGATCATGATAAGCTAGGGTGCAATAAACAAGAGAGATACGTAAAGCTGAAAAAGAAATATTGGTGCTCAGCAGGCCAAGAGGGGGTACATTGCATTATTTGGGGGCAAGCCACAGAAAGGCTTGGAAGAACAGCCAGGTCTTACGTTGCCTCTTAAAGCTCAGGAGGGACGGGGCTAGCTTGCACCTCTGGTGGAAGAGAATTCCAGAGTGAAGTGGCTTCCACAGAGAAGGCCCAGTTATGGGTGGTAGACTTTCGAGCCTCCCCCCAGGGTGGCCACATTTGGCAATGAAAGACAATTCATGGTCAGTAAAGGGGTGAAGAGAACCATGCTTAATAGACCTGTTATGAGAAGGATAAAGGATAAGTGTGGGTACATAAAGGACAGTAACAGCTAGCAGAGGTACTGCCTCAAACACAGGAGAGAACAACTGCAAGATAGCAAAAAAGTGGGCACCTTCTCAGCCAAGAACAGGCAACTTCAATGGGCTTGGGGTCCACTTTTCCAGTTGGCCAACTGAGGAATAGCTTATGGGAAGGGCAGCAAGTGTGCGGATTTTTCTTTTATTACACACACAATTTGAAGATCAAGATCACAGTTAATTCATTACAGACTAGAATTATAGAATAATTTTAAATCACCCTTAAGAAACATAAACTTTCAACAATCCGTTTACTAGCTATGGTACTCCAGAGAGAAAAGGGTTGCAAAGGTTGTTTAAATAATAAAGGAAGATAACCAATAGCGATGAGGCTGGTAAATAAAAATTTCCTCCTTCCAGCCACACTAAAGTTTCAATCAACACTCAATTAAAAGTTGGCTTCAGTGAAACAGCTCATCAAGCAGACAAAACACCTTTTTTTAATAAATAAAAATTCTGGGGAGTCCTGGGAATACTGGAAGGTCACAAAAAGGGTGCTGTGAGTCACACCTTGCCTATCATGACTCCCAACCAGCACGCAGACAACACAAAACTCTTTCTCGCTTTGCCATCTAAATCTGAAGAAGCTGTTTCAGTTCTAGATCAGTGTCTGGCATCAGTAATCGACTGGATGAAAGTGAATAAACTGAGACTTAATCTAGACAAGACAGACGTGCTTTTGGTCAGCTAAATGAGATCAGATAATAAAGATCTATTCTGCGCTAGATGGGGAAACATTCCGCCCCCTGAAATATACTGTATCTGTGAAGATTCTCATTCATCCAGGTAAGGTTATCTGGAAGTTGAGTCATGAACCCAGTTGCCATGACTCAACTTCTAGGCTCCCCCTGAAAACACAGGTGTGCAGCTTGGGGGTGATCCTGGATTCATCTCCGAGCCTAGATGCTTAGGTTTTGGCAGAAAGGAGAAGTGCCTTTCCACAGTTAAAATTAATAGTGCCAGCAGTGCCTGTTTCTGGAGAGATCTGATCTGGCCACAGAGACACATGCCTTACATCCCAGCTGGATTACTGTAACACTCTTTGTGGGGCTGCCTCTGAAAAGTGTCCAGAAACTTCAGTGGGTTCAAAGCACTAGAGGCAAATGGTTAGCTAGGGCTGGCTACAGGGATCACATACCACTACCCTTTTAGAGCAGCTCCACTGGCTGCTGGTCTGTTTCCAACCACAATTCAAAATGGTTTAACCTACAAAGGACTAAATGGATTGGGTCCAAACTATTTCAAAGACCGCATTTCCCTTTATAAGCCTGCTCAGGTTCTAAGATTTGGAGAGGCATTTCTCTCAGGCCCACCACCCTCATAGGTGTGTTTGGTGGGGACACAGGAAATTACCTTCTCTGTTATTGCTCCCAGACTCTCCCTCCTGGCATTTCTAATATTGTTTTTCTTTAATGATGTAAACCACCTTGAGTGCTTTTTAGGAGAAAATGCAGGATAAAAATATTTTTTAAAAAAACAAACAAGCTAGCAAGCTTTGAAATCAAAATTCTGTTCATCATGAAAGGGCGCATATTCTCATACCTATTTTCTGCCATTTGGTTAGCATGCCACATAAACCTGCTCTTCCGGCTCAGAACTTCTCTGGAGGGCCTTCTCTGGCCCCACTGCCTTTAGAGGAGAACCATCACTGTTAACTTTCTAGTACCAGGCACAGATTTATTTACTGTATTTCTCTGATGTTTTTGAAATATTTCTTTTCAACTGCTTTGCTCTACTTTTAGCTGACCATCATTCCCACTGCTGTTCTCCTCTCCTGTTAATTTTCATGATGAGTTTCAATGTATTTTATTGGTTTTCGATTGTGATTTATATTGTGACTCTTTTATCAAAAACTGCTTTCAGCATGCTTTTATTGGCGGGAAAGAGGATATCACCTTCATGCTGCTCACAGTGCAGGCACAGTTATTGCTGGACAAAAGAACTGAGGGGACAAGGGACGTGCAGCATAGGATAACAGTGGAAAAGAGGAAGGGCACAGGGCCAAGCATTCTACGGGACAGAAAAAGGAGCGTGCAGAGACCAAGTAGTGTATATGAAAAGCAGAATAAATTGGGAAGGAACGTTGAATCTAACACTCTCTCTGTTCAGCCAACCTGTACATCCAAAATTGCAACATACGTTCAGGCCACTTAATAGGCTTTTCATAACTGATAATAAAGAGTTCAATTAAATAACCATTTTCATGATTATCAATTTCAGATGCCGAAGCCGTCAATTCCCAAAAACCCAAAAACAGAAAAGCCTACTTTGGAACAGTGAGCAGAATGGAATTCCAGCTCTAGGCTAAAAGCCAGGAAATGAGATTCACTGTGGAAATCTCATCTCTCAATACCATGAGTGTGTACAAACCACCCATCTGTCAACTTTACTAATTTGACAGCAGTATATATTCATGAGCAAAATGGCTGTCACAATGGGTTGGGAAGTCCACTGATAATTCTGCCAGTACATGGAAGCAGCTGAATGCAATTTCCCTCTGTGAGCCCTTCAGGTACGGGCAAAACACTATAAATGAGTCTGCGCTTAGAAGGCCAAAACTGCATGCAGAAGATCAAATCTAAGTGACAATCTTCTGCTCAAATTGTACTGGAAGAAACAGGTAGGTGCACTTAACACTGAGCCAGATCATATATCTGCAGGCCAGGATTAGAAAAATAGACACTCTGACAATCAGTTTAACACAGGTAATAGTCAGCTAGCTAGTCATTAGGAGCAATAGCAGAGGTTGCTTAAATTATTTCAAACTTTCTCAGTTTCATCCATTTTGTCAGCACAATATAACTGTGAAGCTCCTGCCAGTGTCACAGCCAGACAACTGTTTCTATTATGCTCAAACTAGGAGCGGCTGCTCCACTCCAGAGAATGGTCATGGTATATGAAACAGGAATAATTCAGAACAGATTACGTCAAAAAGAAACAAGTTGGCAAACAAGTCTGTTTTTTTCAAAGACCTACGGATGGAAATGCACATGATTCTACCCAAATTTAGAAGCCACATTTAAACCACTGAGTTTCCAAACTCAAGTTTAGCATTTCTCCTAATCAGCTTCACATTGTGTCCTCATGACAGCACCTGACACCACTACTGCCTTAAATATGTCACTTCAAATCTGCCTTATTATGGCAGGTCAGCAGAGCATTACAGGTATTCTGAATGACAAAACTCTTGCTTTGTTGTTTCACAGCTCCCACAGCATCTAAAGTACATGAAAAATATCCAAGCAGCAAGAGGCGTTCCTTCTGACACATGTTAAAACTGATATCCATGTTTCTTGCCATTTTAATTCTACTAGCATGTCTAGGATCCTTATGCACTGGTGCTCCATTTCCACTTTATTAAAACAAGTATTGAGAATGGAAAATTATTATTTGGTAGCATTAGGACACAGTTTGAACATGCCTGTATGCTGAGAAGTGTAAGAAACCTCTTCCTTTCAGTAACTTAGAAAGATACACTGGCGTTATGAGAAGGTGTGCGAGCAGAGAGTGTAAGAAACGGGCCCATTCTTATGCTTCCCACTCAGACTATTGTGGGCTGAGTTTCCATTTTTAACTTTTGCTCTTACACGAGTCCGCAAACCACCCAGATGTACTTCAAAAGATGTTGCCAGCAGGAATTCTACCCACTCTGTCTTGGATGACACATGGCTACAATAAATACCCTAGTCACAAATTGCCTCAGAAGTCCAGTATTAAACACGAGTAAAAAATAAATTTTGCCTTGAATAGTCTGTAATTTGATTTATTAACTAAAACAGAATACCATCAAGCACCACTACTATAAAGACTGGCTCAAAACAGAAACTACATGGGTAAAGAAAACATCCGAGGGTAGTTAGTTATCTCCTTTCAAAAACTATGCACCAATGCCCATTTGACTAAACTCTTCAAGCATGTTGCTTCTTTTGGTTTGTGGAAAACCAACTGCTTCATGTTCAATTACCTTAGGTACTATTGAGCAACATAAGGAATGTAATTATTTTGCATGGTTAATTGGCATAACAATTTCAATTATGATTTGAAACTGTTGGTTTGGAGCAAAGATGAACACTTGTGATTTTTTTTAATACCCTGCCCTTCTTTATAAGAAGCCCAGCAAAACACAATAACTTACATGAAGCACAGTCCACACAGAAATATTTAAAATGTAATTCTAGGAAAAGAATACAAATCAATAAAACAAAGTTGTAGGCTACCTAACGACAAGAATGTGAGGGGGTGTGGAAATGGCTCTTCACTAGAAGAGTAGCTAAGAGGAATTAAAATCAGGAGACTACTTCTGCCATCAATTTTTTTTAATATTCATTTCTCTTTTTGCAGGGACACAAACAGGATTCTCTTCATACAGCAGCAGATTACCTCCACTTACAGAATGTCATCTCATATCTGAAGACTCCTGCCTAGATTTCCTTCCTGCTTCTTTAATGGACTGATTCCTACGACTTGTTTGCTTCTGTGATGCCTTTCATTCAATAATCTAAATAGAAAGGCTAAAATCCTGTAGTCTAGTGCCCACTCTATTGTAAATAACTATGCTAAGCAACAGAATTTCAGCCTTTATGTTTAAAGGGTCTAAAGAGAAGAATATCAACTCATTCATTCATTCATTCTGCCCTTCTCCTTAAAAAGGACTCAAGAGGGTTAACCTATACATATCTTTAACATTCCATTGGAACTATTGCTCAAATGTTACATTAAATAAGAATGTTTCAAAACAGGTAACATTTTATTCTGTTCCTCTAATAGTCACTTGTCTAAATAGTGCTCTTCACTTCCACATAAAACATGCTCAAACTTGTATCCCTGCAAACTTCAGAAAATTTCTCATTGATGCCCATTAAAGATCATCACATACATTAAACTTCACATACAAGAATGGTGGTTCCCTTATGTCCACCTCTTTTCCAACATAATCCTTTGTTGATTAAAAATGGTAATTACCGCCTTATATTAGATTAGACCACTGTAATGCGCTGTACGTGGCGCTACCTTTGAGATTGATGCGGAAGCTTCAAATGGTGCAGAATGCGGCAGAGAGATTACTTAGCTGAACGAGAAAATTCCAGCATATCTCTTCCATTCTGGCTGCTCTGCATTGGCTGCCCATTCGTTTCCGCATTGACTTCAAAGTGTTAATGATGATATACAAAGCCTTAAACGGTTTAGGACCTCTATACTTGGCAGAACGCCTTCTCCCACCTAGATCTACTCAAGTCACTCACTATAGCCAGGAAAGACAGCTGAGAAGCCTGATGCCGAGAGAGGCCCGGAAAGAAAGAACAAGAAACCGGGCCTTCTCAGCGGTGGCCCCTCGACTCTGGAACAGCTTGCCACCAGAGATTTGCCTGGCACCCTTGCTGGGTGTTTTCAAGAGCCAATTAAAAACTTGGCTCTTTAGGCAAGTCTTCCCTCCTGCCATTACTTGACTTTTACTTTTCTTGGTTTTGCTGTTTATTCCCATCTTGATTATAGTATTATTGTAGATTTTAACTGTTGTTTTTAATTTGTTTATGCACAATATATTGTGAGCCGCCCTGAGTAGACTTCTGTCTAGAAGAGCAGGATAAAAATCCAATAATAAATAAATAATATGAAGAGGGCAATGCAGGTACAATATGAGGCTGGAAAGAATGAAGCAGGACCTCAAAAAAGTGTTCATCAAAGGTACACTGTAACAGTACAAAACATTTAAAAATAATCTACATTATATTTATGTTCAAAAGTGCACATGCTTTTAATATGTTCAGGAGTCACAGCATAACTACCTGGAACTGAAAACAACACGTTCAATTGTTAGACTCCCAGAATGTACAAAAGCATTCCTAACATGGGAAAACAACAAGGCATCATTTCAAAGATCAATCCCATGAAGCCCGGTATCCTTTTCGCATGTCCTACAGCTGCAAGCAGATGAACTGTGAAAAGTTCTCAGTTGTATTGCAGATGATTATGTTTCTCTCTGAATAATACTTTACCTGTTGAATTCTCACCATTCTGTTCATCCTTTAAACTCTGTTGACTGAGGTCTGTTACTATGCAAACAGCTTGCTTCTTCCCTTCATCATCTCCCGACTCTTCAGATTCGATTCTCCTGTCAACTGAGTAAAAGGAATACATAATAATTAAGTCCTTTTCAGAAAAAAGAATGGGAGCACAAAATGAGGTACTTATCAACTATTAATCTTGGCAGAGTTTCTACATCTGCAAAAATGATCCCAGACATATCTCCTTAGAAGCAAGCCTAAAAAAGTTCAGCTGTATTCACCCACAAGTAACTGCACAGATTACAGCTTTAGGTTCAAAATCCAATGAGCAACAGGACTAACTAGAATGCCAACATACAACAACCAAGCTGATAATGCATCATGGCTGGCAGTCATTCCATGTGGGGCTCAAAACTGCAGAATGTATTTGCAGCTACAGTATGGCAAACTTCTGTTCTTCTCCAAGGAGGTCTATAAATCTCTGCAGGACTCCTGGAAGAGTCAGGTATCCTTATCAGGATATGACATATTGAGCATTTGTAATTTTTGTGTTCATGGATTGCTCAGATAATCTTTATTTATTTAAAAGAGTTATGCCCTCCCTATCCCCTCAAAAGGACCAAAAGTGGCTTACAATATTAAAAGAATATGGGGGCAGGGGGGGCAAACATGCTAATTTTTAAGAGCCCCCTCTTAGGCAGCCAATTACTGAGAAAATCTTGGGTTTAATGAACAGAGATACAAACAAGCCCTGGAGCACCTTGGACACAGCCAATATGTTCTTTTCTTGAGGTGTGCAACTCATCATGCTGCATCACCAGGAGACATCTGCCCTTTAGAATTCAAACTCATGAGATGCATTCATAATTCATGACCTGTCATTCTACAATACTCAAAGCAAAGTCATTCCTCCTCAAATACAGTATCTAAATAAAACTTGTCAGTGGCATGTTATACGCAGTGAAGAAGCTCTTCAGTTGGCAGGGCTAACAGCATCTCCATAGTTTAGTATGTGCTAATGAATACATGTACACACACTTCCTACCATATTTTTGTGGGGAATTTTGTATATGCAACCCAGGTAGTTTTTCAATAGTAAGAGTGCATGACCTAAACAAAGACACAGTTTCCCAAACTCAATTTACATCTTAGGCAGTGAGGCACTACTACCTGCAGTACAAGAGATTCATACAAATAGCCCCCTGACCCCAACCCCATGGTGCTTTTGTTGTTTAGTCATTAAGTCGTGTCCGACTCTTCGTGACCCCATGGACCAGAGCACGCCAGGCCCTCCTGTCTTCCACTGCCTCCTGGAGTTGGGTCAAATGGCATGGTGCCACCATCACTTAAATCACCTAGGTAGGAAAGCACTGGGGTTAGGGGCGGAAGAGAACAAACTGAGAGGCAACTGATGGGAAAGAAAGAAACACCCAAGGAAAACAAAAGGTGTTGGGGAGGGGAGGATGCTGTTTTTATGAGTCAGTAGTTGTTAAATTGCCAACCTCAAGGATTCTTGCGAGCACAGGGGCGCCGCTTGAATTGAGGGGAAGGCAGACTCTTCAAGCAATTAAAGCTATTATCCCTTACCTGTTAAGGCTTACCCCTAAACCACACCACTCTACAGAAGGGCTACCCCCGTTGATTCTCCGTATGCGCCTAATGGTAACCAGACACCACCTTTCTAAAGGGCTTCGGGAGAGGAAGAGAGCTGGCAACCTGCATGCAACAGAAGGACCGACGTAGCTCGGGGATGGTGGTGGGCGATCCTAGGAAGCTCCAGCTCTCTTTCCCCCAACTGCACCCGCTTCCCCCTTGCTTCTGCTGCCCCTCCATGCCCACCACCCCACAAACCGCTTCCCTGCCGACCACTGGGATCTCCTTCCACTTCCACTGCGCCCCTCACCCACGCAAGGCCAGCGCCCACGGCTCCGGCACCGTAAGCTTCCCTCGCTTATCCGACATCCCCGTAGTAAGCCTGACCCGGCCCTAACCCAGATTCGGACACCGCGCGCTATCATCCGGCCTCTCACCCTCCATCATCTCCTGCGCGCCCTCCCCGCTCTCCGTCTCAGATCCCGTTGTCGCCATAACGCTTTGCACCCCCTCCCCCTTCCGGCATCGGGCCCTGAGCCTGGGACAGCCAATGAATGACTCGATCGGAAACGCCTCCAGCCAATAGCGGACTCAGCTTCGCCGCAGAGGTTCCCGTGAGATCTTTTGCGCCTGCGCCTAGCCCCGCGGCCCCCTGGGAAATGTAGTTTCGCTTAGGGACATTGGCCGCTAGCCGGGGAGGTATGGACGGGAGGGTTTTAAAAGAGCTGTGCGGTCAGTGGGGAACAGCAGGAGCTGGCAAGAAGCGTGCATGTTATTATTTCTGTTGGGCTGAAATTTAAAGGCCTCCAATTTTTAATGCTGGCTGACAAAAATAAGGGAGGGGCAAAGCAGAGTGGTGGAAAGAACACAGCCCACGTATTTCTTTTCTATCATTAGCTCATTCTAAGATTCATCAGGAAGAAAGAAGCTGCTCCCATTCTGGCTGTTGGGGTGCTGGTGGGGTGGGTGGTCTTTGTGTGCGGTCTATGGATCCATCTGTTTTCGTTCAATTCTCATTTTAATGTTTTCTATCCCCTCCATATGTTTGCCATATATTAAAAGAATACTTATGGATGAGTATACAGTACGTAAGGAAATAGACTTTTCATATTTCCATCCTGCCAGCAAATAGGCATATGGTGGCATACTGGTGCTGAATATGGAGTTTCTATATAGATATGCCTGGTAGACTTAACTCTCCATGGCAACAGCAAATCCTCCATCAATTTTAGTTAATTTGCTTTTAAAACCAGCAATACACAACCAGGCCAGCAACCTTCCATTTCCTGAGATTTCAGAGCCAAAACTCAGACCTCTGAATTATCAGCAGAACAAAACAGGCAAGGTTTGGAAGGGAACCAGAACTGCTGTTGAGTCTGTTGATTTTAGGAACAGGTATAATGGATTGCATTTCCTGTCTTGCTCTAAAGGCTATCATGGGCCCAAGCATATCCACCCACTGGAACTCTCCCCACCTCTTCCTTGATTTTTAGTGTGCCAAAGGTGTGCAACAATAATGCAACATGCGGACATTTGCTTTGCATTAGTGAACTCTGACACTCTCTGGGAATGAATGGAAATGACTACCCAGGCATTAAAACTACTGTACCTTACAGACAAAGTAAAACTTTTGTCCTTTTCCAGTGCTGCTCACCCTGAGAATTGTCCCCTCACATAGTGACACGTGGAAGCATGGCACTTCCTTGAGATCTCAGCCAACATCATCAAATCTCAAATGCTGTCAACATACCTTTCACATACAATTTCCAACCTGGGTTTTCCATGTGCAAATAATATTCTGTGCCACTGTGTTATGATCTTTCCTAATCTCTAAAACACTAGAGGCGCCACAATGATTCAGCTGTAGTAAAACTGCCAAGATGACAATGAAATATGATATACACTTTTAGACTACCAATGTGTCTCCCAAAATTTAAATGGTGATGGCTATGCTGCCTTGTAAATTATACTAAAGAAGCATTAGGCAATGCAAGCTATATTAACTGGGACAGACATCCAATAATATGGATGCACTGCTGTAATTGATTTGAATTTAAAAATGCCACAAAGAAATGGTGAGAAATAATTATTTTTTTAAAATGGCAACAGTACCTTCCTGTTCTAATGTCTACTGAGAAATATGTCCCATTGAGTTCAGTGGGATTTACTTTTGGGTAAATGGAGATAGGATTGCAACTTAAGTGGTACCCCAAAGTGCCCTATAGCGCAGTATACAGTATAGCACAGATGACAGAACCATCAGAAAGCAGCAATAAAGGCATATGATAGCCAGGCAACATTTAATGGATTCATGTTTTCTATGTGATGATGAAAATGTTAAGAAGATATTAAGGACATTTATGTCCACACACGTGGAAACACTGATTTCTTCTCAGCATGGTTTTCCAGAATATTTTTAGAATATTTTAAAATAAATTTAAATTTTTTATTTGAAAATCTCCCCCAAGCCAGTACAATAAAACCTCTGAATAGCTTGAGTATGACACAGTTCCCTCTTATCTACAAAGGAGAGGAGCAGTTTTTGTTCTTGGATTTTCCCTTTATTGTTTTATTTCGGTTTTGTTTCTCTCTGTTCCTTTGTAGTTTAGAGCAACAAGAGATCCAGATCTTCAACAGAAGCAAGGAAAAGCTGCTTCACATTGCAGATAGATGTCTGACCTGAGACAGGCAACTTCAACACCCAAGACCAGCTCTGAACTGTAGGTTTAATGTAAGTGGAGCTCTGCCTGGCTTACTCCTTCCCAATGTTCAAAAGGCACCTGAAAACATTTCCTTTCCTGGAGACCTTTCTTGGCTAACCGCCTTGATTTTTCATGTTCAGTTTGTGAATTTTAATTTACACATCCTGAGCTTTTGTCATTGATTATGCATTGATTATGCTCACTGGAAGGACAGATCCTGAAGCTGAGGCTCCAATACTTTGGCCATCTCATGAGAAGAGAAGACTCCCTGGAAAAGCCCCTGATGCTGGGAAAGAGTGAAGGCAAGAGGAGAAGGGGACGACAGAGGACGAGATGGTTGAACAGTGTCATCGAAGCTACCAACATGAATTTGACCCAACTCCAGGAGGCAGGAGGGCCATATTTTTTCCTCATAATAGGATCATTGGCTTCAATATTTTTTGGATTTGCTGTTCTGAATTATGGAACCAGAAACAATGTAGATAAATAAAGCTTGTGAAAAAATACAAGAAGTTTGGATCTGCTGGAGTGATTGCAACAAAGAAAATATTTGTACTTAAGATACCCAGATGAATGTTGAAATGCTTGTCTAATGCTTGTCTGATTTAATTCTGGTATTAACCATTTGCTAGAATATTGTCAGCTGTGAAGAGCCTAGATTTTTGAAAGAAGTTTCACATATGAAAATATGAAGTTATGTTTGGGTTATTCATAATCAATGTGCTGTCACATCAATTTTGACTCATACCAACCCTTTTCAGGGTTTCCTACGTTTACCATTCCCTACTTCTGAAGGCCACACAGGCTGGCTGTACTCACAGGAGGCACAGTGGGAAATCAAAATTCCAACCTCTGGATAAATCACAGGGTTATCCAACCTCTAAATAATGTTTAAATTAGTAATGCTCAAATAAAATCCACCATATACAAGTGCTTCTTTGATAATATATTTAAATACTCATTTTCCTCAATTTTTCCCTGTTAAAAATACTGTACATATGTATATATGCATGTTTATAGAGAGAAGTAAACTATTTATACAGATGTATTATTTATTTATATTTTATGTACAGTATAATTTATTAATGATAAATTTGCTGTTTTAATATAGGCTATGATTATAATATTGCTTATTTTAATGATTTTAATGTTTTCTAAAGTTTAAATATCGTATACTACTCAGAGGCCATTGGTAATGGCGCAGCTAAGACTAAATAAATAACTAAATAAATGTGCTTCCTTTTTTACTTTATTTATTATGATAAGAAACAGTGACTAAAAGAAATGTGTGGAGTTTCCATATCGGAGACGGAGACAATTTTGAAAATTCCGTGCGGGGATGGGGAATGTGTGGGCCTCCAGGTATTGTTGGGCTACAACTCCCATTCAGCAAAGGTAAGGGTGAAGACTACAGTAATGGGAAGCACAGTACAACAAGATACTATTGAGGACCACATATACCTCCTTCCTGCTCTTTTCTCTCCTTGGGTGAGAAATTAAAGTTTGTCCATGGCCAGGAGATGAAAAAACATGGGCCGTTGCACTTCCCATCCTTCTCCCTCCCCACTCCCTCATCTTGCTCTCTATAGAACGCGCCTGGCGCGTCCCTAGTAACCATTTGCGCGGGATTATTTCGCTTCGAACGTTGGGGAGACTCCGCCCCTCGGCGTTGGTTAGATTGTAGAATTGTCCGTTAAACGTTCCGTGGCCTCTGTTTGGCTCCCAATGCCACGAAGGCGGCGTCCTCCGCCTGTTCCGTTCGATTCGTTCCTATCAGGCAGGGAGCGGGCGGAGAGTTGGGGGCCCACTTTTGTAATACGGGAGGCGGTTAGCCGAGCAGGAAAGAAGGGGCTTGCGACGTAGCCCTGGATCCTGCTTGTAACACCAGGGACCGGCTTCGGTACTTAACAGGATGATATTTTGCGGCTGCCCCTGAGAATGTGCAGAGTGCGTTTCCCTCTTTGCGGGATAACCATACTGTAGTTCACCCACTCTTCTCAAGAGGTGCTGGTAGAATCTCGTGGTTGCGGGTTGATTAACGCCTTCTCACGGAGGGTTGGCTTGGCTTCTGCAGGCGTTGCCTGTCCCTTGCTTTGGCATCCTGGTGCCCCCACTTCTGTGCTTTGGGTGCTCTTATTTATTTATTTATTTATTTATTTATTTATTTATTTATTTATTTATTTATTTAACCTTTCTCCTTAAAAAAAAACACCTTAGCGAGCTTACCTCCTTTAAAGACAAAATTTAAAGCTGAAAACAATAATTAACGATTACATCATTAAAAGATAATAATTAAAGCTAAGAACAATGCTGTTTGTCCAACTTGGAACCTCTTACCTTCCCCCCCCTCTCCATCATTACTGATGTCTTCTTCAATAATGACATGTATGTTCCCCCAGTTCCTTTGTGCCTCTGTTTTCCTTCCTGTTTCTCCCACTTCCCCTAAACCCTGTCCTGGGAGAGCTCTTATGGTCATCATCTCTGCTTTCTTTTCAACTTCCTCCTTTCCTAGCGATTTTCCTTGGGACTTGGGAATTACTACTTTCTTGGTGGGCTTTTCTTGTTAAAAAAATAATTTTTTCTATCATGCTTTTTGCCTTGTCTCCTCCTTCTCTGGATCCTGTTGAGACAAACCGACTGCCACATTTTTTGTCCTGGATCTTTCTGACTCCTTCTGTTTTCATTATAGAGGCTGGATGTGTTGAGGGAAGGAGCTCCAATTCAGGCATGACCATGGCAGCCAAGGAGTGGTCCCCTTCCAAAGTGGCCCTTGCAGGTTCTTCAATAACCGTGAGCCTTCCTGGAATCTGTGAAGAGCTGAGCAAGTCCTTTCCTTGGATCAACAAAAAAAGGAAGAGTGGGCTTTCCAGGCTCTGTAAGAAGAAAACATCTTTATCAGGTGACTACTTGGCCTGTCAAATTTAGTGTACTCATTAATTAAAGAGGGGGGTTTGCTTTAAACAACTTTGGTTTGTTGTTGTGCATTTGGATGAAAGTGTTTATGAGAAAGCTGCTTGGAAAAAGAAACATTAAACAACCTTCTATAAGCTGGACACTCAAGCTGGACACTACAAGCCCTGCTCCACAGCCAACATGGTGGAAGCTGTGTGTGGTGGGAAGTTCTTTGATAAACCTGGAGTTTCCAAATTTGGAAGAGAGGTGGTACAAAAGGAACATAAACTAGAGAGGGCATTTATGGGCACGCGGAAAGACCAAATTTTAATTGTTTCTGGATTCGGAAAATAAGAGTTTGTGCTATCTTCCCATTACTGCTTGTTGTTTCCCATATTGGTGATATCTGTGAATATGATTGATATTCTGCATGTGACCTTTTTTTCCCTAGTGCTGCACAGAAAATGAGCCTAGTCTCATTAACTTTATCTATTCTGAGTTAATGAGGAAGCTGAGATTTTTTTAAAAACTCTTTTTAATTAGTGTGACCCTGCACAACATTGCTTAGTCCTTTCACTGCAAATTTATTAAAATTTTGGACCCCAAAGTGTGATTTTAACTATTCCTAGTAAGCACTTGTTTTGAAAACTTTCTTGGATATATGTAATCAAGATATTTTTTCCCCCTAGAAAATGGATGGAATTCCTATTGCTTATCTTCTTTAGCTGCCCAGAACATTTGTTCCAGCAAACTTCATAATTCTTGGAATCACATGGAATCGGCTTCCTTTTCGTGTTCGATATGCAATGCCTCATCATGCTCTTTGTTAAATGCCCTGGCCTTGGGAGAAGCCACTCAGGGCTTATCAAGCATTGTGCGCAATCCAAACAAAGCTGTTTTCACTGTGAATGTCACAACTACTGAGGTACTGATGAGTTTCTGCATAAAATTACATTAAAGCAGGGGGTGGGGATCTTATGGTCCTCCAGATGTTGCTGATCTGCAACTTCCATTCTCCATGACTGCTGGTGATGTTGACTTCTGGGAGGGTCACTGGTTAACATCATGACTTTTGCATACATAGCATACTGTGTGTTTATATGTGGAGGGGCAATAGGTATGAAAGCTTGTTATAGTTGCATAAGATGTTACAGTGTTGCAGTCATTCATTTGTATCATATGATGACAGGTTTTTATTTGTTATAAAATAAACTTTTTTGAGTTGCAACCTCCTTAGCAAAGAACTGTAATCTGCAACCTCCCTGCCATATTTGCATTAAAAGGCAATTTTAACGGGGCAAGGAAAACACGCTAAAATAGATTTTTTAGAATATAATTCTATCCTATTAATATATTAATGCAATAATAAAAAAATTGGGGGGGGCAGATGAAAATCAGCCTCTATCAAATAAAATTTGAGAAGGAAAAAAAGGTCAATAAACTTTAAGTTTAATTTGCTTTTTTGAATGTGGAAATGTCTCTCTTCATCTCCCCCCCAAAAGAGCCTTCTCAGTGAAGAGCTCTCCCCACCAGCCCAAATAAGTACCTCACCTACGGGCCCCACACCTCATTGGTTCTCCCTCACCTTTTTGCCCTTCTTCCATTCCTCCTCCATGATTTGCAGAGGGAGGGCGGGGACATCTTCCTGCCCAGGTCCCCTCTCCTTTCACTGTGCCACTATCGCCACACCTGGAAAAGCTGGAGATTCAGATGGAGTAAAAGGCAGCAGCAATTTGCCACTGCTGATGATATCATTCTTATTGCACCTATAGAGCTGTGCAACAGGATTTCGGCCCGTGAGTCTTTTTAAACATGCATAAGAATGCTTACTTGCCAGTAGAATAAGCTGGGTTTGTTCACTTAAATCCGTGGAACTTGGTATTCCTTATCTTTCTCTGTATTCCCACCACTAGTTATAATATAGAAAATCTGAGGCATTTGTTTAATGGCAGTAAAAAAGAAATTACTTTAATTTTTCTTGTTTTCTTTAGATTCTAGTTGCAAATGACAAAGCCTGCAAGCTTCTTGGTTATAGTACTGAGGAGGTGATTGGCCAGAAATTATCACAGATGATTTCAAAATCAAATTGGGACATTATGGAAGCATTGAAGGAAAAAAATGTTGATGCTGAAGAACATGAAACAGTAGTGCCCGGAACAGTGGTATGTGAGATATGGGATAAATGTGCTCTAGCAAAAAATATTTGTGTTGTGATTTCAGTATAAGCATCCCATACCCCTCATAACAATTATTCTGATGCCAAGTTGATTCCAAGGTATAGTGACCCTTTTAAGGTTTTCTAGGTATTCAGTTCTCAGAAGTGGTTTACATTCTTTTTCTGGGAGTGGCCTGGGACTATGCAGCTTACCCATGACCACGAAGGCTGGCTCATCTGCAAGGCACAGTGGGAAATTAAACTCCCAACCTCTCGTTCTCCAGCCAGTTACCTAACTCACTGAGCTATCAAGCCAGCAAGACTGCTCAAACAGGTGTTAAATAGCTACAAAAGAAACTGAACAGATACCTACAGGAATCCTGTGTGTTACTATTCTTACTTAAATTTAATGAGCCAATGTATTCGCGAAGGCTTTCACGGCTGGGATCTAATGGATGTTGTGGGTTTTTCGGGCTCTTTGGCTGTGTTCTGAAGGTCGTTCTTCCTAACGTTTCGCCAGTCTTTGTGGCCGGCATCTTCAGAGGACAGCACTCTGTGCTCTGGTGTAGTTGGCTTGGGAGTGGAGTATTGAGCCAAGTTTTCTTAATTTGCATAGTTCTTTAGCACATAGAAGTTTGACTGCAGATGTAAAGCATGTTTGTTTGCTTATGTGCTTGCATGACCCATGTATTGAAGATAATGCATTTGTTATGTTCATTGTTTTTGTTCACTGACAGAATAACAGGTTGGGGTATATATGTGTATTTCTAAATGTATCTTAAATATTGCACTTTTTACCATGGTCACAAATAGGCAAGTTCAGAAATTAGACATTTTCATTGATAATTAATGGAATGGCTGGTTGCTAATTCAGCCTTCTAGTTAACTTGGGTAATCTGGGAGCCTGCAGTTCTGAATGAGATCCTCAAAAGGGGTAACTGCTTTTGTATGGGAAAAATGAGCAATGGATGAGAGACGTTGTGTCCTTTCAAGCCTTGATTTGAGCTGGAGTGCCACTTCTGCATCCCTCCAGTTCTGCAGTATGAGCAGCCATTTATACTGGGAGTAAATTATTTATAGTTCAGTGGGGCAGTATCTGCCAGGTATCCTTGGGAGGATTCAGCTGATTAACTAGGCCTTTCCCTCTCTGAGAATGAGTTATCAGTACCAAGCAAAGGTGGCTTGGCCTGCTACTGTATTTTTAATAGCAGTTGCTTTGCAGATATCTTAAAGCTTTTATAGCATGATTGTAAACTCTCTAGCTGGCCTTTAGTAGGTCAGAGTACTTGGAGATACAGTTAGCTGCTGTGCCTGGAACCTTACATTTAGCTTCATGTCCATGTACAGCACCACCTTCCTGTTGTTTTCATGAACATATTTGTAAATCTAGGATGTGAACTCTTTAGCTTTTTTATTAAGAAGAAATTGAAGAATGTTGGGTCACCTTAAAAATGAACTCAGTTTAGTCAGTTACATGTTTCACAGACTAGATTGCATTTACCATATTTTTCCATTTATCAGATGTTACTTTTTCCAAAAATCATTACATTAAAAAATGAGGGGTGTCTTATAAACGAAAGCAAGCTGAGAACACGGGGCGAACAAGATTGCCCATACCTTGCCTCTGTAAACAGGCTTCTTTCAATCACAAGGCTTAGCTTCCTACAATCAGGAGTCTTAGTTTCCTCCAATCACAAGCCTTATGGAACTGACGTTGGCTGATGCTGAACAAACCAACAGGAACACACCTCGTTGGAGGTGGAGCCTGTAGGCTCAGATGTAACAGGGACTCGTCTGACGTTCTGAGCCCAGAGGCTGAATACTCAAAGCTAGGTTTTCTTAATTTTTGGGTTAGAAAAGTGGGGGTGGCATCTTATAAATGGGGAAAAAAAACGGTAATCAGATCTTTCCAACAGTTTATCAACCTCTCAGTTAGAAAATCTTTCCCGTGCTTTATGTAAGGCCATTTCTTATATCCTCTTCTAATATACTGTAGTGCTTTCATGAAGGGCTTATGTCATGTAGTATCTAAGGGCTCTTCTAAACAGAACATTTGAACCACAATTTTTCCAAGTTCTGCACTGAATTTAACAGATTTTCCCCCCAGTGTCCAAACAGTATTCTCTAGCTTTGTACTGTTTTTTTCACTCTGTATTTCTGGAATTCTTTCACTCTCCCCAAACTCTTGGGTAATTTTTTGTTCCACTTTGTACTGGGGGGGGCCAGAATTTTGCATTAGGATACTTCTCAGATATTTAAGAGATAATGGACAATGGTAAAGCAATAGTTAGCATGGCACAGGAAGCATTAATTTGTTGAGCAAGAGTGGACATTTGTGGGACACTGCCAGTCCAAGTACTGTACCAAAGCAGAGAGGCAGTTCTTTACTGGGCCACCCACCATGTGGAGGCGATTCTTAGTAAACCTGGTGAACCTCCATCCGTAAGTGACAGAAAGGGAAGGAAACCAGGGAGGTGAAAATGCTCTGCCTAGGAGAGCACTAAGAAAGAGGCAGAAGGGCCTTCTGCTGTGAATCTACTCAGTAGTCCTTGGCAAGCAGCCATTCTCTTTAGCACTACATATATACTATGGGGATGATAATATTGATTTACCATATGAAGCTTTTTAACTTGCATGTTACTGAGATAACATACGTTGAGCACTTGGAACACTGAGAAAATGTTACGAAAATGCAAATTTACCACATATTTTCACAGAAACAGAAACAAAATCCAAAAGAGTTATGTAAAAAATGCGGTGATCAGGCTCTATGATGTGCAGGTTATAAACTTAAAAATGTACTTTCTTAATAGGTTGAGGTTATCTCCTGTACCAATGAAAAGATTCCAGTTTCTGTATGGACGAGAAGACTTAAAAACCACTGCAGTCACTACTGTGTGGTTGTTCTAGAACCTGTTGAAAGACTCTCTGCTTCTGTGTTTTTCACAAGCAACGTGAGTGAATTTGCAATAAAGGTGCTATAATCTAAGATAAAATCTCAACACCTAAATTCAGCAAAATGCTTCAAACACATTTTGGGAATTATTTAAGAGTATGTAGTATCCATAAGAGTATGCTTGTCCTATTTGTTGCCCACTTACGGTTGTAACATAAGGCGGGCAGAAAGCTTTTGTTGGCTTGAAATGGTTTCAGAGCACTTGGGTATTTTATTAAATAGATTATTTAAAAATATTCTTATTTGTTGTCTGCCTCCTTGGAGGTCTATTGTAAGAGTCAAAGACATCAGACATTCATATAGAAGTTTATCATCGTTCTTAAATAGGCATTTCAATAGGGCCAGTCTGCTGAATCAGTGGCCAGCACTGTCCTCTTTTGGCCACATTTTAATTATTGTTTGTTTGCTTATTTATTTATTTTTACCCCACCATTCTCCTTAAAAAGGACCCCAAAGTGGCTTACATCACTGAAAGATAATATTTAAACCTGAGAACACTGAGTATACAACAGTGGTTTATATCATCAAAAGACAATATTTAAAGCTAAGAACAATGAGCATAAAAAGGCAGCTTGCATCATTAAAACACAATATGAAAGCTAAAAACAGTAAATATACAACTTTTAAAAAAGGAACAAACAGATGCCATTCTGAGAAATAATATTTCTTATCTTAAGGGAGAAATTACCTCTTGTGACCCCCTCTTTGCTCATCTTCATGGCTACTCATCATCTGAAGACGTGGTTGGTCATTATATAACAGACCTGATCCCTTCTATCCAAATTCCTGCACCTGGCAAGAAGATCCCAAAGGTATGATGCTATGAACTGTTGAAGCTGTTCTCTCAACCGTTACTTGGGAGCTAGATTTCTGCACAGACTGATACAGGGACAACTGCTGGGTAGGGATGAGGGATGGCTCACTCCAAAGGTTTGAGGGGAGGCATCCTCCCTCTCCCAGTCATATACCGTGTGACAATGCTTTGAAGACTCCATCCAATCAGATTGATTGGGTTGATTTCCTAGCCGCTATCAATTAATGCATTGTTGCTTAACTTCACATTGTTATATGACATACCACTTCTTTTTTCAGAATCTCAGGATTCAGAGATCTGTTGGTCGAGCAAGGGAAGGGACAACGTTCCCTCTCAGCCTGAAACTGAAAGTGAACTTCCCTGTTGAAGACAGTATCCCAGTACAAGATGGCCCTGAGCCAGAACTTGGTGCTGATGCTTCAGAACATGATGTAACTTCCTTACCTGCAGATTGTTCCTTCTCTGCTACGATCTGGGTCTTCACCACCATCAGCGGGCTGATCACTGTCCAGACTGATGGTAAAATTTATGGAATCAACAACACATTTTCTCTGATGCTGTTTGGTTATGAGAAAAAGGAGCTGCTAGGGAAGGTAACACTTATCTTTCTTCTCTCTAGTGAAAGAAATGTCTCTCATGTCTCTCTGTGTAGACATGAAGAGTTACTCTTTTGTTCAACTTAGAAATAATGTTTACTCCATATTTGAGTGCTGAGATGTCACAGAAGCTGTTCAACAGATGGGTAGGAATATAATCTATACTGTTGCATTTTAGTTAAGTAACCAGCAATATTTAGCATACCTATAGCACAGAAGAAGAAACGCTCAGGCTCAAGCTTCCGGCAGCATTTTGCAACAGTGCTTTCTGTGCATATTATAGATCTCTTTTAAATTAAGTCTTAGATTATATTGGCATTGGTCACTACATGATAAGCGTAAGGGAGTAGATTTAATCATGTTTACTTTTGTATTCTAGAACATTACATTCTTGATTCCTGGTTTTTACAAGTATATGGATAGAACTGAAGGCTGTTCTTTGCAACTCCAGCGCTCCGAAGGAAGTTCTGGTGTGGATGCAGAAAATGTGAGCTCTTCTGGTGACTTTGAAGGCACTCAGGTGGATAGCTGTAGAACAGGTGAAGGTAAATTTACTGGTAGGGAGGAGGGTAGGAAGTGACACAAGCCTCTCTATTTCTTTAAACAGCTTGTTTATTATTTGTATGCCTTCTCTGTTCTCATTTTTCTTTGGTGTGGCTGTTTGCAAAGCCAAAGGAATGCCAACTTTGAAATAGTTGGGTAAGAGCTGATATTTTGAATTTGATAAAAACTTTAAAGGAGGTAGCCCTGTTAGTCTCTTTCAGCATGTATCAAAACAAACAAAACAAGCAAAAGTACTTCTTGATCAGCTTTTATGGATTGCAATTTGATAGGGGATGCTTGCTGGATTAGTCAAGGTTGTTGTTGTTTAGTCGTTTAGTCGTGTCTGACTCTTCATGACCCCGTGGACCAGAGCACACCAGGCCCTCCTGTCTTCCACTGCCACCCGGAGTTGGGTCAAATTCATGTTGGTAGCTTCGATGACACTGTCCAACCATCTCGTCCTCAGTCATCCCCTTCTCCTCTTGCCTTCACACTTTCCTAACATCAGGGGCTTTCCAAGGAGTCTTCTCTTCTCATGAGATGGCCAAAGTATTGGAGCCTCAGCTTCAGGATCTGTCCTTCCAGTGAGCACTCAGGGTTGATTTCTTTTAGAATGGATAGGTTTGTTCTCCGGCTGCAGTGATCATGGAGCCCAAGAAAGTAAAATCTGTCACTGCCTCCATATCTTCCCCTTCTATTTGCCAGGAGGTGATGGGACCAGTGGCCAAAAGAAAAAGAGAAAAAGAACTTTTCCCATGTCTGTTCTTGCAGTGTGTGCCATGTTGAAAGAATCACTGTGCACCACTGTTTTTGGTTAAGTCTGGTTTTGTTTTTGATGCAGGCACTAGTCTGTGCACTTCTGAGGATGTTGGTTTCCTGGGCCTGCAGGAACAACAGGAATTAACAAGGAGTCATGGAACAGAGCTCCACATTAGCCAACCAGAAAGTGGTCGTGGTTTGCCCTCTGTTGTCTCATCTTCTCCGGAGACACCTCTGTCACTGAATGGGTAAAGATACATCATTGGGCTGGAGCTGGGGTAGTGAGTATAGGGGGAAAGATGCTTTCTCTTTCAGCATAATATAATTAATAAGTTCTTTTCTGCACAACAGAGAAGATGCACCAAACTCTGATGTGCCAGCCCTTGTTGAAGTCCTGCCTTCTGGAAGTCTGCATGAAGGAACCAAGAATGAGATACGTACGACTAAACCTACTAGCTTCCAGCCGTGTGAAACATGTTCACCAAAGCAATTTCATTCAGAACCGTGTGTGTTGGAAAGTAGGATTGATCAAGGAAGTAGGAACCATGGCAGCAGCTGTTGTGATCAGCGTCAGGAAAAATATGACCCTTTGGATATCCACAGTTCTGGTTCCCCACTTGACATTGTGAAGCCTGCCACTACAACAAAGAGTGATGGCGCCGAGCTCCATAATAGAAAGGACACACAGTGCAAGAGTGGGTGTAGCCTGTCTTCTCTCATGTCAGCTCTCCCTGAACCACCTGTTACACTAAATGGGTAGGTTTCACATGCATGGGATGGAGGTATTGAAGTTCACCAGGCACCAAGCTGCCACAGATCTTACACACACACACACACACACACACACACACACACACACACACAGGTGGGAGGGAGAGAACTAGCATCGGGTCAAGTACACGCTAAGGAACGGTATGGGACTAACTGTGTTAATGTGTGCCTTATACCTTTTCTTGTGTCAGCCGAGGTCTGACCACATCTCCCCAGTCATGGCTCACCTGCACTGGTTACCTGTTGCTTCCCAGATCAGATTCAAGGTTTTGATGCTTATCCATAAACTCTTTCATGGTTTGGGAGCACGTTACCTGTTGGAGCACCTTTTCCTAAGGTCATCCATCTGACCCACTGGGTCCTCCCAGCCCATGATCCTCAAGGTAGCCACTTCAAGAGAAGCCAAGAAATCCTCTACTAGAAGTAGGGCCGCCTTTGTGGTGGCTCCAACTCTATGGAACAAACTACCAGTGGAACTGTGCCAGGCCCCTCCCTCCCCTTCCTTTAAAAGATAATTGAAAACTCTGCTTTACAAAGAGGCCTTTTTTTGGCAACTCTTCTTAACCCATTCCTTGCTGCTCTATAAGGTTATATTTCTGCCACTTGATTGTTATGTTATTTTCATTTACATTTATTGTTTTAGTTGATTGTAAACTGTCCAGAGTAGTGTTTTTGCACTACTGAGGTATACAAATTAGAGAGAGGTGTAATCCAAAAATTAGGGGAAGTATTTTAGAATGTTTTATTTTGTTACAGTGCTTCCCAATTTAATTCAAAGGAGGCTCTATGATGAGTTGTATTCATCCATCACCTAGAGTAAGGCAGAGATCATATGTCCATAAACCTTTGCTTTGGCCAGTAGCTCCTTCCTTTCAGGCTTTATTCCCATGGACTTCATCTGATTTTGATTATGTTTTCTGTTGAGGATTTATGTTATTGTGTTTTATTGTCTTATGTTGAGTAATTTTACTTTTCCGCATCCTAGCATTCTCTGGATGGAAGTCATTTAAATATTTTGAGAAATATAAATATTGAATTCAGGAAGGAGAAACATATTGGCAAAGATCCTTCTGTCACCATAAAAAAAGTAACTTTTTTCTTTCATAGCAGACCGTATGCTTCTAGCAGCTGTATGCTGGTGCCTGAAGAAGTTGTACCTTCTGAGTGGTCACATGACAGAAACTCTGGTGATGTAAAGATTACAAAACAGTATGATGCCCATTTTCCAAAACGATTCAATTCAGAGCCTTGTGTCTTGGAAAACAGAATTAAACTACAAGACAGAGAACTTGCTGGGACTAGCTGGGACCTTCTTCAAGAAGAAAACAATGACTTTTTGGAGAAACATGATTTTGATATACTACATGAAATTGTGAAGTGCCAATCTGCTCCCATAGATTTGGGGAGAGCAGGTTATGTCACGGCTGATCAGACTTCTGTGGCATGTATATTAGAAGATGATTTGGGGCATGAGGCAAATGTGACTCGTGAGGCTGCCCATTTCTCATTTGGCACTCCCACACTGGATGAGCCAGTGTACAGCATAGCTTCAAGTTCTAAGCAGACTTGTAGGGTGACAGGTCACCTGCCACATGGAAATCTGAGAAGTAGCACAAGGAACTCGGGATTTGAAAACACTGCACCAAAAAAACTGACATATGATTCACCAGCCTTTTTGTCTGACAAAAGAAGTGACTCTCCTGTTCCTGCAGGATCTTGCATGCCTTGTGATTCCTCTGCCATTGGAGAGGGTAATGTACATCATGAAATGGAATCTTTATGCTGCGGCCTGAGGGACATGGCAAACGGGATTAGCGGGGAGGTGGTTTCAGCCACAGGGCCTGCCTCTGGACCCACAGAGGTTTCCTTATTAAAGAAGGAAGATACTGGCCCATCCCCGGACCAGGCAAATAGCATGTCAGCGAATGATCACACAGAATTCTTGTTGAAGGACAATTCTCCAAACCTTTGTCAGAAAGGCTTGCTCTCTGCTCAGCATGCCAGGCACATTGGTGTGGATTTCTCCCCATGCTCTGCTTCTAACATTGAAAGCGCTGCAGAGGGCACAGGGGATCCTCTAGAAATACAGTCACCAACCAATATTCAGTTCCAGGAAAAGTTCATGTATTCAGAACAGAAGGATATGGCACAGACAACTTCAACACCTGTGAAACTAGAAGCTACACTGCCCCAAGCAATTACTTCGAACAGTGAGATCCTTGAAGGCAGCTATTTGGGTAACTGCTACCACAGAGACGGTTCTCGACTAAGTAAGTTGGAAATGGTTGTAATTTATTTTTCCCTTAGTGCTTTTATTTGGGAGAGCCCTTTTTTGTGTGCTTGGAAGTGTTAAAAATGCATTTTTAATATGAACTCAGTGGATGGGGGGATAGATGATAAGGAAAATGTGAACAAAAGGATACGGAATGAGCATGTGCTTTGAGGTTTCGAATAGAAAAGCAAAGTAATCAAAGAAAACATTAATTTGATTTTTACTACCATCTAAAATTGGAGAGACATTTGTTGACAGTGAACCTTAGAAGATTTTTCGAAGGCCTCAGCATGTTCTAAAACTTGGAGAGAAAACTTCAAACTATGTTTTATTTTACATGGAAAAATTTTATGATTTTAATGAGGTGAATGGAATGGCTGATTATCAGAGGGCTGGCCGGCCATTATGAAATGAACAGATTGTTTTCAAGGCCAAAGCCATAGTGTTTCAAGATGTGTTCCTTCAGAATTATGGACATGAATTTTATCAATTGGATGTTTTCTGTCTTGGTCTGTCAAAATAAAGCCACAGCTGAAGCTCTTCCCTCTATTGTTTAATTTGCTCTTAGTTAATCCTCTGTTAATCATGCTTAGGAATGTTCAAAGCAATGTTTTTAGCTGTGCTAGTAAAACCTCAGCAAGAGGACATTTGTAAGCTTCAGATAATTGGTCTGGAGACTAAGGGTTGTATGTGTGAGAGTTCCTCCCCATTTTTTGCTGTTGTAGGCATACTCTTTGAAGTGAAACGTGTGGAACTGCATGACCCTTCTGCTCTCTTCTGTATTTGGGTTATGAGAGATCACTTCCACAGCCAGAAGCAAGCAGCAGCGAAGACACAGTTACTTCTTTCTAGTTTGGCCAGTTCCTCTCAAACCCTCGGTGATGTCTCTGCGCTTAGCTTGGCAGAGGTAAGTCTACTAGATCTTCTTTAACCCATGGGAGATGAGATAGTAAGCAAATATGTGTGCAACCAAACCAGCAGAGATGGGTGTGTTTTGCACCAAGACGTTGTTAAAGATGCTGACATGAAAATGGGACATGGTTCACACTGTGTTTGATTATTTTCCATTATCTTTTGCTGCAGTTTCTGATTCATAATACTAGATGGGAGGGGGAATAATATAGACCCATCTCCCTGTTTGAATATTTCCCAGGGGGTCCCCCATGAAATTGCTAAAGAAACCTGATCCCTTTTAGCTTCTTGATGAGATCTGATATGTTCAGGATTATATGGTGACTGCATTATAACTTAAATCCTGTTTGAGGCTGCCTTACTGCCTCCTACTTTTGGGTTCTTTCTATTTTGCAAACTGTTTTCCATTAACATTTATATATATTTAAAAAATAACTACTGGAATAATAAGCTCAAGACTTATTAAAGATAGTGCAACTATTAGCAATGCATTTTAAAGAGAGAGAAAGGAAATGTGATAGGATTGTCTAGTGGGGCGGGGTAAAAATCTAATAAATAATGAATAAATAAAATAAATAGGATGCAGTAAATCGCATAACTCCTGAGACATGGTCAATAGTATTATATCTTATGTCTGCTTGCCCAGAAGTTTTGGCAATCAGAAATTATGAAAGAGTGAAAAGATTGATCTCTCCTTGCTGCTGTATTGCCAAAATCCAGTCCCCTGGATCAGTGGGAAGACACATTTTTTGCTCTGGGAGCCTGCACCGTGTTGTGAAGCAAAACTACAGCTCCTCTGCTTGATGTGCCACTAAAATTCAGTGATGGTGAGCTACAAATCCCAGATGAATTTAAGGTGGACCTAAACGTGGTGTTTTACCAGGCAGAGGTTGTTCATGTCTGGAATACTAGTATCTGCAAATGTCAAAGGGGATGGCAGAAATACTGGAAACTCTATTCTGAATGGCACAGCCTACCAGTACAGCAATTTGTGGGCAGTTCCAGCTGATGATCGTAAATGGCCTTCAATATAGCCTACCAGTACAGCAATTTGTGGGCAGTTTCAGCCTTCAATATATATTTTTTCCATATGTTCTCTTTGTTTGCCCTCCTTTTCAATTATACACATACTGATGAGTTTTCTACAATTTTGTAATGTCAATTATACACATACTGATGAGTTTTCTTCAATTTTGTAATGTGTTCTTTTTTTTTGCTGAAGTTAATCAAAACAACACCCTTGTTTGAGAATTCACGCCGAGCTGAAGAACTAGAGAAGCTGAAGGCTTGTGAGGGAGAATATGGGAAGAAGTACGACACACTGACACTTGTTGGCAAAGGAGCTTTTGGATTTGTCTGGACAGCCAAGAGCAGAAAGGATCAAAAAGAGGTGAGTGAGCAAAAAATTAGCTCTCCAGTGTTTCCTTCACCGTAGCTTAACAAAGCCTTCTCTAATTAGCACAGTAAGGGGGAGATTTTTTAATGTGGTGTGTCTATGAGTTACATCCTGGCATAAATAATGAATTCTTGGGCTAAGCCACATACTCCGATGCATCCTATTTCTTCACTCTAAGGGGATGCCAGCCCTCCTGAGCTTTTCATGTGAATCTCAGTCAGTCTAGCAGACTTTGGGATTCTAATACAGTAAAACAATAATCACTATCAAGAAGATCCAAAAGCCCAAGCTCTGCCCACCTGTGGTGTAGAGCGGGGACAGGTATGTCTTGAATATTGTTCGATTGTCCACCTTGGACAACAGCTCAGCTAATGGCTTTTTTTTAAAAAAAACTCACATTTAAATATGGTGAGATATGTTCCCCAGAGCACAAAATACAGCCACTCACTATTAATGGCAGTGCTTTTCTTTTTCTTTCTTTCTCTCTCTTTCTCTTTCTCTTTTACTTTCATTTTTTCATAGTTTACACATGCTCTCCTTTAGTAGACCCAATTGTTGTCAGTTTAGGATTTGTATCCCTTGGTGTCATTTACAGGCTGTAGTGAAGTTCATTTGGAAAGGAAGAGTGTTGGACTACTGCTGGGTAGAGGACCCAGAACTAGGGATGGTCACTCAGGAGATTGCAATTTTGAGGAAGCTTCAGCACCCCAATATTATTAAGGTACTGCTTCATCTAGTATGGAAATGCATAGCTATAAAGCTTATATTTGCTCACAAATTCAGTACTGTTTCTATTTGGATATTGAAACTAATTTTGGGTGGTGACAGCAATTTGCTGTATATGAAGATGATTGAAATTTTTTATCTGTTTTTTAATCTAGTTGTCTATAGCATAGTATCCTGTACAAAGAGGCTGGTTAACAGTCCAATGGAAAACCCCACTCAGTCTCAACTTGGATTATATTTTTGTTAAACCTTGGTAAAGGGACTACTAGGGAATGTATTAATTCTCCTGAAATGTAAAATGAAATGTCTGATATCTGTTGTCTAAGACAACAGTTTCCGGATGTCTTGGACTACCACTTCCATCATCCTCACCTAGAAGCCTGTTAGTTAGAAATGCTGGGAGTTGGTCCAACATGTCTGAAGGGTGCCATATTGAAGAAGCACTGATCTAAGACAAGGGTGGGCAACCATGGTGCTTTGAAGGTTGTTGAACTTCAGTTCCCATAATCCCTCACTACTGACTTTGCTGGCTATGGCTGACAGTGAGAAATGCTTGGATGTGGAAAACACCTGGTAAGCCATAGTTGCCCAGCCAAGTTCTTGAGAGGTTATAGTGTGACTGCCACTTTTCCTTCTTGAGAAGCGTCCACTGGGTTGTGAAGTTTCCTAAATCCTTTTGAGAATTAAAAGTCAACTTGTGCATTCTGTCACCAGGTGCTAGATATATTTGAGAATCAACAGTTCTTCCAGCTAGTGATGGAGAAGCATGGATCAGGCATGGATCTCTTCACATTCATTGATCACGAGCCTGACCTGGATGAGCCTTTGGCAAGTTATGTATTCAGACAGGTGAGATTTGGTTGGCGTGAAACCTGCAAATAAATATTTGAAGGACATGGATCTGCATTGTGTTAGCTGATAAGACCGTGGGGAAAGTTGTTGTGATGCACCCAGAAGAGAAGTGAAACTTGGATCATGACCATGATAGCTTAAAAGAGTTAAAATCCTATCCTTCCATATCACAATCCCTATCTAGATCAGAAGCACATGTAGCTATAGTTTACCTTTTTAAGCTACAAAATCAGTACGTGAAAGGTGACACATGTGTTTTTGCTGTCATTCCCCTTGCTCAGTAATGCTTGTTAATATTTAAGGAAAAAGAGGAAATAACTCAGAGGCAGGCTGGAAAACAGCTTCATGTTGTTGTCCTTTGAATAACAGCTTCCTAGATTGCCTTTGATCCTTCTGATTTAATCAGATCTCTCCCTTATTGGTATGAATTTGAGAAGGCTACAAACCTTGGTGAGCCTATACTTCCCTCCTGTGCTTCATCCAGCAGCCACATACTCAAAAGCAATGCTGCAATAATGCCTACCCTGCCTCCTTGTTGGAGTGGGCGGCTGTTAGAGGAGGCAGAGAAGGGAAGCATGCACTCCTGCTGGGACAGGTCGAATGCCCGAAGATGAGAAGAACAGCACATCCTGGCTGGTTAGTGGGGGATCTGGCTGGGAGGAGGGAAGGAATGTATGGCACCTATGGTGCTGGTCCAATGATCAAGCACAAACCTCCAAACTGAAGTTTGTGTCCATCTCTAGTGGGAATCACTCTAGAATTCATATTAAACTTTGGACAAAGAACAATGTTTCCTCCGTTCTACTCCTGTAGCTCCATTAACTATAAACACACAAGGTGGATAACTCTTGTACGAAGGAACTATGTTAATTATAGCATTTTAGAATGAATCATATCAAGTATTGTTTTGTATATCGTTTAATGCTGTTTGGATATCTTACTAAGTTGTAGTACCTGACTACTGAATGAGAGTGTGGGAGTTTGATTCCTCTTTGGCTTCTCAGGAAGAGATCCAGGCTATGTAGCCTTGGGTAAGCTGAACAGTCCCAAAGAGGCCTGAGAAGAAGGGAAACCAGAGTATTTATACATAGGAAACCCTGACAAGGGTTACTATAAGTCCAGACATCTTGACAGCACACATTATCATGATCATCATATTGTACTTCTTCTGTCTCAGCCTTATTGGTGCATGGGGGATAGACAAAAAGGTCATGGCTAAAAATTAGGAATAAAGTCCCAAGAATCTGCGGGTGAGATGACATGTTTAGAAAATCACTGATTTTTGAATTTCAGGAAGAAAAATTAGCTGTTATTAACAATTGTTTTAAATTGGTAACCAAAAATTTTGGAATGACTCTAATTGCTGAAATATTAGAATAAGAATATCTTATCTCTTACTAATTGGATATCTTTTCAAATAAAAAATGGGTGGAAAGAAAGCCAGGTATTATATATAATACATAGAATCATATAGTATATCATTATTTCAGGCTACAGTTAGTGAAAAGGTATATTTGCTTCTAGCTTATTATTTAAGCCTAGAATCTTTTGCTAATCCCAGTTAGAGTAGACTCATTGAATCTGGTTGAATGGTGAGTCAATACATGGTAAATCCTAATTATTCAGTGGGACTACCAATAGCATTCTGGCTTTAATGTTTTGTATTTAAATTTTTGTTGAAAGTACACTGCTTTGAGATACTGTTTTGGTTACGGTAAATGAAGTATGAGTAAATAACCATATAAATATTATTTGCAGTGGTGCTCATTCTGATGTCTGGTTCTCTTTGTGTATCAGCTGGTGTCTGCGGTGAGCTATTTGCACTCTAGGAATATTCTTCACAGAGATATCAAGGATGAGAACATCATAATTGCTGAAGATTTTACTATCAAACTGATAGACTTTGGCTCAGCTGCTTATCTGGAACCTGGCAAGCTATTCTATACCTTTTGTGGGACGATTGAGTACTGCTCACCAGAAGTGCTGTCAGGCAATCCGTATGTATAATTTTGAAGCAAACCCTTTACACCTTGTATTTGCGAAGGCTTTCACGGCCAAGATCTAATGGTTGTTGTGGGGTTTTCGGGCTCTTTGGCCGTGTTCTGAAGGTTGTTCTTCCTAATGTTTCACCAGTCTCTGTGGCTGGCATCTTATGAGGACAGCACTCTGTGCTCTGGTGTAGTTGGCTAGGGAGTTGAGTATTTATGGCTGTGAGAGAGGCTTTTGTCCTTTTCAGGAGATGGGTGATTAGTGTGCCTTGTTGTGGGTGTATTGTTGTGATAAAATTTATTTTATTTATTTATGTATTTTATTTATATCCCGCCTATCTAGTCTCATTGAGTCCACTCTAGGCGGCTTACAGCAAGCACAATACAATATTAAAACAATTTTAAATAGGGGAAAGTCTTTAGGCAAAATGGGACAAACACTAAGAAAGGGGAAAAAGAGGGAAGCCAATCTCACAGCCATAAATACTCAACACCCAAGCACTTCCTTGATTTAATGGAGGGAAAGGTCTTTAGGACAAAGAGTGAAGGAGAGAAAGACAGTGGCAAAGTCTGAATGATTGTATATTAGCTTAATAGCCACACAACCGATGGATGAATAAAGGAGTAGAATATTCCCTTTTGGACTATAATTAACTACTTGAGATAACAAGTTGGCTTAAAATCTTATTTAAAGCTCTTTTTTGTTGCTTTAAAGCGACAGTTCCCTGGTTAGGAAGAAATGGGAAAATCTGGTTTGTGTGAGTTTTTGTTTTACATGTTTGTTTGATCACACAAAGGGAATAACAAAGGGGATGTATGCTTAATAAGCTGAGATATGATTGTCCAAGTGTGATTAATACTTCCCAGATAATAATCAAAAGAATTTCAGCCCTGTTGATCATCTCTTCATGTTTTCTTGATCATAGATGCACAGAGGCTGCTCCTTTATTTGTCTTTTAAGCTTCAGAAAATGGGAATTGGGGAGAGAGCAGGAGGCCTTGGTTGGTTGGGAAGAACAAAACTATCTTTTTGTGATGGATATTTTTTAAAAACTAAATTATACTTAAATGATGTTTCTTTCGTTTGTCCTTCCCTTTTATTTGAAATGTTGTGGGCATTTTGCGCTTAAACTTCATATTCCTCTAATAGGTATTTAGGTCCAGAGCTGGAGATGTGGTCGCTTGGTATTACCCTTTATACCATAGTTTTTGGTGAAAATCCTTTTTGTGAGCTGGAAGAAACTATGGAAGCTGTATTAAGACCTCCTTACAGTGTATCAGAAGGTGAGCGTTTCAGTCACCCATTGGAGGAACTGCTAATGCCAGGGAGAGGAAAAAAGCCTTGAGATACAATTTCTGGGCAAGATAAATCGCTGGTAGAAGCTTGCCTGGCTCTTGTAGAGGGGCCTGCAAACTGTATCTGGCATGCTCAAACATCATGCCTTCCTGATGCCCCATGACTAGCCCAGAGTCAGTGGAAATGGGGCTATGGGCTGAAGGAAGCACACTGTCGGATGTCTAATAAATGCACACTTATTTCTCCCTATTCTTTATAAATACGATGGGGAGGTAAATTTCTTTCAGCCCTCACCATCAAATATCAAGATAAGAGTGAGCCAGGAGATAGAAGGTAGCTGTACAATACGGAACCTCAGCATCCTCTTGTGATATGTGAGGGTTTACAGTAGCTCTGAAGGCTGTGTGTTGTTTGTGGTTCACGTTGCTCATCCCTGCTGTTTAAAGGTTGCTTCTGCGGAGCACAGTTCCAGTACTGGATTGTCTACCACAAGATTTAGCTTTCCTTCCTTCATCTTCTATCAGTCTGTAGAGTAGTAAATAGAATATTTGGAAGACTTATGTTACGTCTTCTTTCTCACTGTATGTATGAGTGTAAAACAAAGGCAAGATGTTGACAATAAACTGATTCATATAACTTGTTCCTGTGAAGATGTTCATTCATCCCTTTCTTCGTATCTACATGTTTTGGGGGACAGTATTTATTGGGCAATATGTCTACTCACACAGCTGCCTGTGCACCTGAAATGATTGATTTCTTTGTCAGTGGCAGATTGTTGCTGATTAAAGACTTTTTCACTTTCAGGAAGTGGACTTTTAGTGTATTTCTAACCCTCTAAGATATGAATTCCTCAGCTGGTGCTAAAATATGGTTATATTTCAGTGATCTTCACAGTTCATGCAGAGTTTATTTTGAGAAGGAGGGAATGCTTAAGAATGGAAGGAGCTGGGAAACAGACTGTAGAATGTGTTGCATAATGTTGTAAACTGTCCAGAGAGTGCTTTAACACCGTGGGACAATATATAAGTCAAAACCACCACCACATGGATGAATCAGTTGTGGCCCATTTGCCAAATGTAGTCCCCGAGGGTAGCCCCCATCCCTAAGAATTTTAAAACCTTTATTTTAATTTTTTGCTCTGAAGGTACCCTTGTGATATCTAAGGGGTGTTTTAATAAAAACAAATCTGTCTTGTTTTGAGAACCCCCATCACTCATGACACTGTATCTTCCCTATTTCTGCTTTTTAAAAATTGGTCACTAGAGGGTATGAGAGGTTTTCTTCAGTTTAAAATATTTTTTAAATTTAAACCCATTTTTCAGCTAACAAAATTCAGTTGTGGGAACCTTTGTGGTATATAACATC